CTGAATTAAGTCCATTTATGTTAATTGTAATCAATTTTTTCTCTTCCATGATTATACTTTATAGGTAGGTTTTGCAGCTCTCGTAGATCTTGGTTCACATTGTTCTCTAGCTTCCACCTTTCCGCCTACTGCACCTTCTTCTTTTTCCGTTGCTATTTGGCAGTCCTCTTGGAACTCAGTTAATGACATTTTTTTTTGTCTCCTCCTCTTTCCCTCCAAAGTATTCTGTGTGAAATAATTCTGCTTTCTCAATTGAATCAATTCTGTGTCTCTGTTCCTGCCATGTGAACATTAAACCTTCTGGAATCAACCATCTATAATTCACCTCTTTTTTAAGTAGAATTTTAGTCAGGAATAGGTATTCTCTTCTCATCTCTCTCACTCTTCTAGGCACTTGTTTCAGGACCACAATCTCCTTTTCTTTACATTTCAATGTTTTCTCTCTTGCCACCTGCAATATTTGCATTTGAATAGCTTTCTTTGTAAATCTGATGTGAACTTCTCTTGGTAGACTATCTCTCATTGCATATCTTGTGAAGACTCAAAAGACTTCATCTATTCCATCCATGATCTTCTCTTTAGTTATTTCCAGAGCTTCAGCCAAGATTTCTTTCATTATCTCAGCTAAGTTTTGTCCCTTTTCTTCCTCTATGTTTTGGAATCTGAGATAAAATTCTGATCTGTCCATCTCCCATCTCAGCATCCCACTTTTATCTTGTTCAACCACAGTTAATCTGTCATCAATATCCCCAATCTTCTTATCTCTTTGTTTATCTTCTTCAATTTTTTGGAATCTTTCATCATACTTCATCATTATTTGTTGAATATTCTCTACCTTTTCATCAGTTTTTTCTGTTCTCTTTTCAATATTCTCTGTTCTTGCTTGTATGTTTTGAATTCCTTGCATTATCATCTGCAGTGTCACCTTTTCCTGTTCTTTTTCTTGTTGTAACATCGTCTGTATTGAGTGTTGTCCTCCAGATGGTGAAGAGGTAGAAGTAGGAATTGAGGAACCAGCTGCTGTTAGTTTCCTGCTCATTTCAGATGATTCAAAATCTTCAGGTTCTTCTAGACCTTAATCCACACGTGTAATAACCAATTGTCATTCCAAATAAAAATAGTAAAAAAAAGAAGCAAGATAAAAGAAAAGTTTCTTCAGGTTCTTGTACACCTTAATCCAATCTATTGGTTAAATAGCAGAAAAAAACCAAAAAAGAAAGAAAAAAACAAACAGAAAAAGGAAAAAATGTTAAATCTTGTAGGTGGCAGGAAAAAAAGGAGTAAAAACTAAAGAAGAGAAAAAAATGAAGTTCTTCAGGTTTTTCAACACCTTAATCCAATTAAAAAGTCACAGGTATGAAAAGATATACAAAATAAGAAGCCACAAAAGAAAAACCAATATGGAAGATAAATAAAAAAATGCAGGAGAGGGCGAGAGAAAAAAGATAAAAGACTACTCCCTTCAAAAGAAAGAGAAAAAATTAATACTAAGACTTGTCCTTTAAAAGAAGATGCAAAAGTAGAAATTAGGCTCCAAAAGCAAAAAGAAAGACAAAAGCAAGTTCCAAAGGCCAAAGATCCAAATGACTATCACAAATAATAAGCTGATAAGGAGGGGGTTTATTGAAGTAAAGAATAGCCCAGCTTAAAAAAGAGAAAAAGAACATACTGCACCAATTCAGTTATCCAAGGCTTTTGTTAAGTTTTATAACTCTCTTCTCTAGAGTCTTATCATCTTTTTTCTGTAAACTTCAACACCAGACTCCAGCTACTGATAGAAACCCAGAAGAGCACTTGCAATAATACTCTCCCATGCTCTTCCCTCTATCTTATCAAACAGGCTCAAAGTCCTTGAAAAGAAGTCTCAATTCTTTCTCAGCTTTGTCTGGTCAAGAGAAAAAAAAAGAGAAAATATTTCTAAGCCTCTAGTTGGCAGTGTTACTAAGTTTCCTCTGCTTTCACTTTCCCCCTCCTTTTCCAAACAAAATGTAATAAAAATTAATTAAAAACGAAAAAAGATTTAGAAAAAAGGGCTGAAAGGGAATCTCTAGCCTACAATATTATAAAGACAAAAAGGAGAAAAGACAAAAAAGAAAAAGTAAGATAGAAAAAAGACCAGTCCAGTTTCAAAGTAAAAAATCATATATGAAAAGTCCAGTAAAAAAAAGGAAATATTAATTTGACTTCCTGTTTAAAATCACCGCTTAATCACGTCTGTCTAAGATTTTACAGATTCTTTCTTTTCCTTAGACTGTCCTTTCAAATCTTAAAGTAAAGAAAAAATTCTCACCAAACCGGCACACTTTCTCTTTCCAATCTCTTCCATTTCGGAGTTGTCCCAACTTCAGCAGCTTTAATGGCTGCCTCTTTACCGCTGGCAAAAAGAGCTCCTCCTGGATCTACCAGGGACTTTGCGGTATCCCTGGGATCGACAGGATGCGTGCTTTACATTCACCATCTCTTCAGGACGGTTTAGATCCGTTTGGACCGTCCAGGAACAAAGATATCAGCAGCAATCTCAGACCTTCAAGATCTCACACCATATCATCGTGACACCAGCTCCGACCTCCCTATTTTGTTATCTTTAAAGTTTACAGTTCATACACCTCACTCAAAGATTTCCTTTTCTCTCCGATCTCAACATCTCAGTCCAAACTGTTTTCCACTCTCCTCTCTTCTGCTTTGTCTTTCTACTCCCTCCAAGTCTCTCTCTTTATGACTCCATTCGTATCTTCTCTGTTTCTTTCCAATCCTCCTTCGTCGTCCCTTTCAGCCCACTCTCTGCCAAATTTTCTTCTTTTCCGCTCCCATTAATGTCCTGCCGTCTCCTTCCGCTTGAAAATTACTCAGTCACTCCTTTCTCTGTGTCTTGCCTTTCTCACCTCCGTCTTCCTGACTTTCCTTCTGATCCTTTCAACGTCTCTCCACTTCCACTTCACCTCCTCCTTCCTTCCAAGGCTTTTTTTTTTCTTTCCTTCGTATTGCTCTCACATCTCGATCGGATTTCACTTTCTCCTTCTCCACTCGCCACATTGGTCTCCTAATCTCCCTCTCTCCAAGAAGCAGAGAGAGGTCAATCGTCTCTCCCTTATCTCCTTCTTTTCGCCACCTCCTCCTCTGGCTTACCTGGGGTTTCTTCTTCTCCCACCAGTTCTCGTCTTATTTCAATCTCCACCTTTCAGCTTCCTATAACTGTTCACTTCCAGTTTATACCCCCTCTCCTTCAGTCTCTTTCCGTTTGTAAAAAGTGCTGAATCACAGCTCTTTCTTACTGTCTCGCCGCCTGTACTGTGGGGTTATCCCCCCTCACCAGAGCTCTTTTTTCCTCAGAAACAAGTTCAAACTTACTTTTGGCAAGTCATCAGAGTTGCATCTTTGGGATTTTAACTTCAATGACACTTTCTGTTGATAATCTTCTCACTTCCTCCTCATTCACGGTTCAGCCATGGCCTCGGGTCTGCCATAATAAAATGACAGACATTTTCACTTCGGGTTTTCAGGGGTTTCCCTTCTTGCCGGCTGGCGATCGCGTTTCACCTCGCCTTCTTCTGGGCTTCCCCTCTTCTCTGCTTGGCTCTCCAGGCTCCTCACACCCCCAAAAGGTCCCCAAAAGTGAAAAAATGGGATCCAGAGACGGAGATCGCTCTTTTCTCACCTTTTCACCAAGGCATCACCACCAGAAGAACCAGGCGCCAGCCTTCTAGATGATTTGGGAGCTGATCCCAGTCTCAGCCTGAAAAGGGACCATAGAGTTGGAAAGGAACTTGGGTGTCATCTAATTCAGCCCCCTGCTAAGGCTGGAATTTGTGGAGACATCTAGGGAGCTGAGAGCATCCATGGAGATCACCAACCTGACCTCCTGTTACCCCCTGAGTTTAGGGGAGCAGGAGGGTAAACGTCCAGGACACAAATCGCCACTACCAATTGGCCAAACCACCACCAGAGTCAGGCTGGAGAACCACCCAGTGTCCCCTTTCTGCTCCCAACCACAGAGACAGTGCAGAGCAGCCTCCCTTTGAACAGGCTCTCGGGTCTGGGTCCCCCAGGTTAACTGCAAAATAAGCCCCCTTTCTGGGTCTGGAGATCATAAGAAGACCCGGATCTGATAGGCAGAAAGAATCTAATCTTGGATGGGGAGGGGTGCAGGGGGCTCGTGTGAGCGTAGTCCAAACCCAGAAGTGAAAATGAAGAGGGGCCTCATGTAAAAATGGCCTCCGGGTCACCTCGTGAATTCTCCCACAGTCCAATTCCATCAGAGCTCATTCACCTCAGTTTTCTAGGTTTCAGCTCTGTTCTGCACAGCCCACCAGACAAGCAGGACTAGTGGTTCAGTGTTCATTTGTAGTTCCTGGATTTATGTGCCACTGAAGCCCCAAACTGTTTGGGTGATGTACCCAGCCAGTAGGGTAACCGAATGAAAAGCTACATGCTTCAGTGATGTTTACTCAACTAAGTCTGGCATTGCCACCAACAACACTCCACCCTGCAGGAGGCATCTGAGTTACCCTCTCAGACCCTGCTGGGAGGGAATCTTCCTTGAAAAGAAGGGCAGAAGCTCCTGGGAGTCCCACGGAGACCCACTGCTCCATTAGCCATCCAGAGTATTAAAAGAAGACTGCACTGAGATGCTGCTGGGTCTTCTGAGGTGTGGAGGGACGGGTGGCCTTCTGAATGGCTGCTGAGGCAAAGGGAGGGTCTGCTTCTGGCTAGTAAGTGGACAAGTGAGAAGGGAGGGCAGCCAGGTTCCAAGGATCAAGCCCATGGGACGGGCAAACCAGCTACCCTCCAACCGGGAGAAGGACTCGCAGAGGAGCCCCCTCCCCAGGGGCAGGAGAGCGCAGCTTGTCTGGCCTAATTCCTGCTGGAGGCCCCTTCTCTGACACAGGGACATGCCCGAAAGAGCAGGGAGGGAAAGAGAGCCTGACATTTCGTTTTGTCTGAAGTTGGGGCCAAGCTAGGCTCTTCGCTCAGGGATGCCGATCCGTTGCTTTGCTTCGCAGATTTGGAGGCCTTTCATTCTGACTACCAAGCCTCAGTTATCAACCGTGTGAGCTGCCAGTGAGTGTTTTCTTTTTGCTGAGGGGACGAGAGCTCCCCAGGAGGCACCTCTTCCAGCCCAGCCAGTGACTCCGGTAAGGCTGGCTGGGAGCACTCTGGGGAGCGGAACTGCAGCCTGCTTTCTGTCCGGCTGCAGGCCCCAGCTGACTCTGGAGGAGCTCTTGCCTGCCTCCACCCCTCCCCAGGCCCTGGACCTTCTGAAACGGCTCTTGGTGTTTAACCCCGAGAAGCGGCTAACGGCAGAGGAGGCACTGGAGCACCCCTACGTGCAAAGGTGAGAGCCCCCTGGAGCTTCGGTACGGCCACCTCATCTGGATGGGCACCACCATTTCCGTGCCTGTTTCAGCTCCCTTCAGTCAGCCGTCCTCACCTGGACTCCTCTCTCGGTAGGTTCCACTGTGCTGCCAAAGAGCCTGCCCTCGACTACAGTGTGACCCTTCCTCTGGCTGATGATGTGCAGCTCTCGGTGGCTGAGTATCGCAATCGAGTTTATGAGGTAATCCCCTGCCCAGGCGGACCCCGAGGGGCCTTTAATTCTACTCTTGGGAGATCCTTAATGGCCCTAAGAGAGGTGAAGGAAGGCGCACCTCCTGAAGTTGAGAGCGACCATGCTGCTGCAACAGTACTAGGGTTTACCTTAATGCAGGCAAGGGTAACTGAACAAAGAGCGCTATTCTAGATTTTAAGAGCTGACTTCGACCATCGAAGAGAAAGAATCGGAAGGATTCCATGGGTGGAAATCCTGAGGGGCAAACCATTTGGGATGCTTGGGAAACCAAAAACAAAGTAACAAAGGCCCAAATAAACTACCACAGAGAAAGAAAAATGTGAGCAGCTGAGTTGTACAAGGAGCTCTCTCGCCAGCTGAGGGATGGATAAAAAGAAACATGATAGATGGAAAGAGGGGCTAGATGTTCTAGTGGACCACCACTTAAATATCAGCCAGCAATGTGGTGCTGCAGCTGGCAAAAAAGCCAACTTGCAGTCTTGGCCTGCGTGAACCGAGGGATTACATCAAGATCGTGAGAAGTGTGCTAATGAGGCCACCCTTGGAATACAGTTCTGGTCACCCTAATGCAGAAAAGATTATCTGAGACCCTTGAAAACCCTTGGAGACGAACAACAAAGGCGATAAAAGGGTTTGGAGGCCAAATCGTAGGATGGTTAAGGGGGCTAGGTATGTCTGGCCTCTTAAAGATAAGGATTAGGGAGGACATGGATAACTGTCTTCCAGTACTTGAGGGCCTGTCACAGAGAAGAGGGGATTGACTTCTTCTCCGGAGCCTCAGAGGGCAGGACAAAAAGTAATGGGTGGAAGCGATAAGTAAGGAGAAATTTTCTAACATGAGAACAATGACTCAATGGAGCAGTTTGCCTCCTGGAGTTGTGGGTGCTTCTGCACTAGAGGTTTTTATAAATAAACTGGACAGCCATTTGATCAGGTTGGTATAAAGTATCCTGCCTTGTGCAGGGGGTTGGGCTAAAAATCCCTTCCAGCCTATGATTTTATGTTGTATGTTTTACATACAAATGGTGGCATATTAGTCTTAAGAGCTTCCCTGGCTGGATTCTACTTAAAAGGACTTTTTCCCCTTCTCCTCCCGCTTTAGACTTTCCAGTGGAAGTACAGTTTTAGTTCTCCCTGTCATGTTACCTTGGCTCATTTGGCCATTGGACCCGTTTTCCACAGAAAAGAAACACTGGGAGCCACAAAACCTTGGTGGGCGGCATCAACTCACTGTCAGGGCTCCAACAAATCCACCTCCATTCAAATCAAAAGTCTATAGCCGCATCTCAGTTCTATGCCTGCTTTCTTTTTGTGTTGTACAAGTCACCTTCAGGAAGTGAGAGGAGCTGAATGTCAACTAAAAAGATACTCCTTTGGTCTTTTTAGCTGCCAGAAAAAAAGGAGTGGGGGAAAACAAGGCATTCCTTAGGGTAATTTAGTATCGGCTGGCTGTCAGGGCTCCAACAAATCCATCCCCATTCAAATCGAAAGTCTCTATCCGCATCTCAGAGAAAAGAAAATTGATTTATTAGAAGTGGCCATGCTGGCGTTAGCTGGGTGCAGCCAATACTAAATTACATCATACATTTCCCCTTTGGCCCTGGTCTTCCCCCCACCCCCTGGATGTGACTTCTCCAATGGGACGCATCCATCTCCAAGAGTCCTCTATCGTGCTCTCCAATAACCTTCTTACACTGGGACAACTTTGGGCTGTCAGGGTTATCTAGGCATTTAAGGAATGCCTTGTTTTCCCCCACTCCCTCCCCTCCCACTCCCTCCCCGCCTGCCCTGAGAAGAGAAGGGCGATGGCGGCGGATGGAGTCTTGCTCCATATTCCAGGGCGGGAGTGAAGCGGCCCTCTACTTGCCTCTTCTTCCAGCCCTTCTTGGTGCTGCACACACCTTGGCCGCTCAGGGAGACACGTGAATTGTTCTCTACCTTGAGACACTGGCCATGCCTGGCTGCAGCCAATGCTCTGTGTTGTAATGGGCTCCAAGAGGAGGAAGTCTCCCCTATTGTGAAGAGAGCTAAATTTAACCTGCTGCGCAAGATGCTGCAAGAGCACCGAGCAGGCCATGGAAGTGGCGAGAGCAGCATTGTTGGCCACAGCCAGGTCGGGCCAGTGTTTCGGGACAGAGCAATTTGCGCATCTCCCCAAGCGGCCAAGGTGCACACAGCACCAACAAGGGCTAGAAGAAGAGGCAAGTAGTGGGGCACTTCGCTCCCTCTCTGGAATACAGAGCAAGTCTCCATTCACCGCAGTCACCCTTATGTTCTCCAGCCAGGCGAGGAATGACTGGGAGGGGAGGGTGAGGGGCGGGGCCAGCCAGTGATGAGACAGGGAGCCAGAGCAAAGGGCCCAAAGAGCAGCATGCTGCTCTGGAGCCACAGGTTGCCAACACCAGCCCTATACCATGCTTGTCCAATCTCTTCTTAAAAACTTTCAGTATTGGAACATTCACAACTTCTGGAAGCAAGTCATTCCGCTGGTTAATTGTTCTGTTGGGAAATTTCTCCTTAGTTCTAGGTTGCGTCTCTCCTTGATTCCACCCATTGCTTCTTGTCCTGCCCTCGGGTGCTTTGGAGAATAGCTTGACTCCTCTTCGTGGCAGCCCCTCAGATATTGGAACACTGCTATCATTCACTGCTATAACCCCTAGTCCTTCTTTTCATCAAACTGGACAGTTCCTGCAACTGTTCTTCATATGTTTTAGCCTCCAGTCCCCTAATCCTCTTTGTTGCCCTTCTCTGCCCTTTTTCTAGAGTCTCAACATCTTTTTTACATCATGGCGACCAAAACTGAATGTAGTATTCCAAGTGCGGCCTTACCAAGGCCTTATAAAGTTGTACTAACATTTTGCGTGATCTTGAGTCTATGCCGCTGTTAATGCAGCCTAGGATTGCATTATTTTTGGGGGGTGGCCGCACACATTACTGGCTCATATTGAAGTGATTGCCTACTAGGATTCCATGATCCCTCTCACAGTTACTACTATTGAGCCAGGTACCGCCTATATACTATACCTGTGCATTTGGTTTTTCTTGCCTAGAACCTTGCTTTTTTTCACCACTGAATTTCATTTTGTTAGATAGCGCCCAATGTTCCAGTCTGCCAAGTTCCTTCTGCAGCTTAAGCCTATCTTCTGGAATAGTGGCTATTCCTGCCTCCTCCCTCCCTCCCTCTTACACACGCTCTCTCTCTTATTTCCAGTTGATCTTGGAATGGAAGGCCAGTAGCCAAGCTCAGAAGCAGACCCTCCAAGGAGACCTTCCGCCTGGTTCCACAGATGCCAGTTCCCCTTTCAGAGCCCACGGTCTGATGAAGGGAGGGACACAGCCTCTTCCATCCCATGGTTCTCCACCACCTTTTGTGGCAGCTTCCCAGCGAAGAGTACATGAGGCAAGAAACCCTTGCCCAAAGCCAAAGTTGAGCTCCACAGTCTGCAGTCCTACCGTTAACGCAGCTGCCCAAAGTAAGTGCATTCTTCTTGCAAAGGTGTACTAATATATTGCAAGAATCTGCCTTCCTGCCACAAATCGGTACATGTTTCCAGGGATAGATTAATTACATTCCAAGATGTCCCAAAGGTGCTTTTTTTCAAAAGGCAACTGGGCTTTGTCTTTTTCCTTGAAAATGTTTCACTTCTCATCCAAGAAACCCCTTCAGTTCTGTCTAAATGGTGAAGAATGGAAGAACATATATTCCTTGCAGTCATCTGGTTGTTAACACTCTTTCTGAGAGTCAAAGCCACTTTGAGGTTTATCCTTGCTCTCAGGGGTCACCTGAATAGTGCAGATATGTGTGGAACCTCCTTGGGATTGATGACCTCTTTTTCAAACCAGCGGTCGGTCCTCTCTGTCCAGAATGAGGACTTTGCTGTCTTCCAAAGAGTGACTTTGGCCTTTCAGATGCAGATGGACTGCTGAATCTTGTCTTGATGGACTTGTTCTCTTATGTTGTGCCGTGCGTTTGTGAAGTGGTTGTTTTGTTTCTCCAATGTACAGCTCTGTACACGTCTCACTGCGTTGTACTGCATATATCATGTTGCTCAGTTTGTGTGTGGGTGTGGACAAGCTCCTGCCTTAACGTATTTGGGGGGTTAAAGTGTATATGTACATAGCGGTGGTTGAAAATGCTCCTGAGCTTTTCAGATATTCCTGCAATTTATGGTATGACAATGTTACTTCGTTTGTTGTTTTCAAAGATTTCCTACCTGCTGGCAACGTGGCAATGGGTCCGCCTCCCTCACGCCTTCAGCAGTACCGGAGAGCAGCGGGCACCTCCGCTCTTTGGGACGTGAGTTACCCTGCCTTTTGCTTTTGCTGATCTGGACCTTCCAGGATCGCAGGCGTCCGCCAGGACCACAGGAGCTCCCAGGTCTTGCAGGAGGTCCTTTCCAGTTGCCTCGCCGGCTCCCTGGGGCTGCCATGCTTCACCTAAGGAGATCCTCCTGGCTCCCTCCCATTTTGATTCCTGCCAAGTTTTCCTCCTGTTGATCAAGGTCGTAGGAAATGTTCAGGGGAGCTTCCAAGAAGGGGCCCCAGCACTTCCTACCTGTGGCACCCTGGACAGGCCTCCCCTGCACAGCCATGCAAGCATTTGTGTAGCCCTCTTCCTCTTGGGTTACACACCCTGACCACTCAGGCGATGGCTAAGGGGCCGTGCACATAAAGACCCATTGCACCCCAACCTCACGGGGTCTTCTTGAAGAAGTCGTTCCTCCTGCGCCCCTTCCCCCCCCCCCCAGCTCTTAGCCTTCCTGAGTGACGATCAGCTTTCAGGTGTTTCTGCCTTTGGACAGGCTGCCTGGCAAAGCAGAGAACGCTCTTTGTCTGTTCCTCTTCTTTTTCCCTCTCATCCCGAGCGAGGCTGCCTTGGGTTTCTTTTAACCTGGGTGCTGCTGGGGGAGTTGTGTGAGTCATGCACCAATGCAGAGAGTGGATGAATCTAGGAGTCCTGCTGGAGCTCCAACTCTCTGTGATCTGCCTCAGCAGGTGCCGAAGGGGCCGGGGATGGCAAGCCAGGCTGCGTCCCCCTTGAAGCCTCTTTCCTTGCTCAGCCAGGCTCAGGAAGCAGCCATCAACCAGCATTTGACGAGGAAGGGGGGCGTTCCCAGCAGGGCTGCCGCGGGGCTGGTAAGTGAAACTGTCCTGACCCCACAGTCCTGGGCTTGGCTGCCTTCCAGCTGGAGGGCTCCTCCGAGACAGCCCAGGATCACTTTTCCTGGCCATAAAAAGCCGAAGGGCAGACAGGTGGTCTTGGGATGGGGAAACTCCTCCCTCCTGGGCAGCGGTTGTGTGGGATCAATGTGGGGGGGGGGATGCTGTGTCCCCCTTGAGCTTCTGGAAGAACGCAGGATGCAATCGCACTAAATACCGTAATGATCCTGCCCCAGTCTTCCAATTATCCGCCTTTTAGGAGCCTGCCCTATTTGATGTAGCCCCAACTCCCCTCTTTGCTCTTGTCAGAATCCACAGAACCCCAAATCCCGTGGCAGGGAAGCTCATTTCTTTCTGAAGCCATGCAAGAAAATGTTCCAGGTTACAGCAAACGTCGGAATAGCTGGTGACCCCAAGGCCCATCTGGGCAGCTACTCCCAGTCCTATGGAACCATCTGCAAGTCTGCCCTCCAGAATCTGCCTGTCTCCAGTGCTTCTCGTCCAGCGCTTGCCCCCAGCCCCCAGCAGCTCTGAGCGTGGCCTCTGTTCACCTGCAGCAGAGAGGCAGGCCGGCCTCCTCCTCCTCCTGCCTCCCTCGGGCAGGCAGAGTGTGCCACTCAGTCGCATCTGCCTTCGATCTGTGATGACCCCAAACTCCTGGGATGCACCAAGAGAGAAGGAAGCGCTAGGTAGGGTGAGCCATTGCCTGGTTCTAGCCATGGGACAGGGTTTTTTTTTTAACACACAAGCTAGCCAACCTCTGTGTTGGGCACTCTCACAATCAAATATAGCCTCCCCCTCCCCCAAAAGCTTCTGAGATAAAAGCCTTTTCTACATTGATTAAAATCGGCAGTGCCTGTTTTTTATTCAGGGTAGGCTGGGATTTGAACCCCGGGCACTGGGTTGGTCTTGACCAGGCAGCTACTTCCCAACTGCTGAAGTCCCTGCCCATCTGGGGGACGCCTGTTCTCAGACTCCAAGGACCTTTTCTGAAAAGCTCTGCTGTGTTTTCCCTGCTTCCCCTCCCATCTGATCCTGCAGGAGCCCTCCGGAAGGTCCATGGGAGGCTGGGAGAGAGATCCCAGAGCATGTTGGAAGGGGGGCATTTAGCCAGGGATTCCTTTGGGTGTCCCCCTTCTCAACAATGCCACTGCTGCCCCCTACTGGCACCTGCATGGGAATCGACACCAGGCATGATGGAGAGAAGTGACCATCTCAGGCTGTGGTCGTCCATTTTTTTGGCAGTAGAGCACCTTTCCAGAACGGGACCCAACCTAATTCATGGTCAGAAGTTTGGAAAATGGGCTGCAGTCACATGGCACCTTCCCCAACCCATGCCTGAAGGACTGCCGCTTCTTTCCTGGCCCTGCAACCAGCCGGTGTTCCAGGAAAAAAAGGGTTTGAAAGCTGAGCTAGGGGTGCTGGTTCCCCTAACCATAACCCATTTAAACCCATCCAGCACAAGGGAGGCTATCTTCTTTCTGGGTTATAGGCGCCAGTGCTCACTTGCTGAAGTTACATTTCCTAATGGCTGTCTTGCTATGGGTAAGTGGCCTCGGAGGCTCTTTTGGGGTCCAAAGACCACTCGGAAATCATCTTATAGCAGGATCGACCACTGTCCAGACCGCTGCTCTGCAGCAGTGCATGGTCTTGGCTCTCCTGTCACCTGTGCAGCCAGCTGGAAACTGGATCCTTTCAGCTGAGAGGCCACAGCGCATTCCATCGAGGGAGGGGGCTGCTGTGTTGCTGGCAAGGAGGAGAAAGGATCCCAGGTGGTCCCAGGAGAGCTGGAAATCAGGTGTCCAAGGGGGAAGAGAAGTGTCAGGTGCTCCATCATCCTTGTCTAAGGAGGGGCTCTTGGAAACCTGGTGGTCCATTTTTATAATATTTTCTTTCATTGGCAAATGCAGGAAAGAAGCAATTTACCTTGGAGAAGCAGGATCCTTCAGTGGGTTTGGCATCTAATCTGCATCTTAAAATTTGCACAATGGATTTGTGCCATCACATATTTATTTGTGGCATTTCCTAAATCTTTCTCCAAAGTGTAACCCCAAATGATGGAAGTTTTAAAAATAACATTTATTTTAACATTGGTTCCTGTGACTTCTTTCACTATGCAATTTGTCAGGGAAACTTGCAATAAAACCAAGGACCAATAGAACCCCAGAACATTCAGAATAAACAGACATAAAATACTACATTGCCGCCATCCTGGAAGGTAAGGGGGGGCCCTGCCTGTGGCTGTCAGCTCAACCTCACTGGCACGATGAGCATCACAGGCGCTGCTTTCCATGAAGAGAGCTGCCTAGATCCTCGTCTGGGAAAGAAAAGGACGCGAAAGGCCACCCGTAGGCTGGCTGCAAAGGCCAGGAGAGGGAGGGGGCCTCCTCCGTCGGTGGGGCCTTCAGGTACTGAGTGTGGGAAAGGGAGGCGCTGCCATCCTTTCTGGCTCGCAGCCACTTGGGAGGGGCCCGGAACCCTGCGCAATCAGCAGACTGGCCCCTGGAGCGGAAGAGGAGGCAAGCTTGCCCTTGGCTGGCGGGGTGCAGCGAAAGCTGCTGCTGACAATCGTGGCCTCTTGAGAGCCACAGTGCTGCTGCAGCCAGGAGCGTCTACGTGCGAGGTCTTGCCTGCACTGGTGTTCTTGAAAAAGCCGCTGCTGCTGCTCCCGCAAGTGACTCAGAAAAGCCTTGAGCATTTGGGCTTGTTTAATGAGGCTCAGAAGCTCATTCTGCAGACTCCAGTTGTCGGCTTTCACTTGCTTGGTGTGCTGGATTAGACTGCGTACGGCCGCCTCCTCTGCCAGTTTGGCCAGAATTTGGAGCTTCTGCTGAGCGTTCACCTCGTATTCGGCTGCCTGGTGAAGGAACCGGCTCTTGACTCTGTGCATCTGCTCGGCATGCTGTATTTTGGTGATCAGCAGCTCCTTCTCCAGCTCCCGTATCTGGGTCAGATGCCGAAGCTGCAGATCCTGCCAGGGCTGCAGGTCAGCCACGTCCCTGTTCAGGAGGAAGAGCTTGTTTTCCAGCTCAATGAGCTGGCGGCTCACCTCCCTCTCCCTCTCGGCATACTGAGCAGCCACCTCTGCTTTCTGCTTCTGGATCTGAGAGAGATCAAACCGATTCTGGTCATTCAAGGAAATGATGGCATTCTGACAACGGACGGTTCTCCGGGTTAAGTAAGAGAGGTAGACCTTGCTGGCTTCTCGGACCTGCTGGGCTTCCTTGTCCAAATACTCATTTTCCGACTGGAAGTGCCTCAGCCGCTGAGAGTAGGTTACGATGTGTTCAGAGAGGATGTCAAGTTCCTTCTGCAAGCGCTGCTCCTTCTCACTCACAAAAGGTGCAGCGCTCGAAGGACCCGCAGCCCCGTCCTTGCCTTTGCTCTTCTTCCCTTTGGGCTTTTTCTTCGGGGCCATCTTGGCTAAGCCAAAGGGTGGTGGTTCAGGTGCTGTTGAAATAGAGAACGAGAATGGCAAATGGTCACATCCAGGGTCACGTTTACAGATTCACAGGCTGTTAGTAACGATGTTTCAAGGCACCCAGAGCTCCCTGGAGTGGGTAGCTCCTCTCATTGTTTGGGGGGAGTTTGATTCGTATTGTGCCTGAAGGTCAGTCTTGCCTCACCAGATTATGGAGAGAAGCAAAAGCCTTCTTCTGTCCTGCATCAAAACAGGCAAACTCCCCAAAAATCCCCAACAACTTCTGTGAACCTGTTCTAATTTCTCTGAACCGTCCTTAAAATGTGGCATTCAGAACTGAACATGACTGAAGTTATTTAACTCAGAACGGAATTATTTGGAACAAGCTTTTTCCCCAAGGAAAACTCCATGGTTTCTCTAGAGTCACATTGTTTGAATGAGGTGGCGTTATAAGTCTGATAAATATATGCATTTGCATTTTACATTTCTGTTGACGAGGCCTAAAGGTTGTTTTTTTTTTCATTGTTCCACAGCCATATGACCGCTGGGTCATATTCAATTCACAATTAACTACTGTTCCAAAATGTTTTTCACACGTGCCTTCTAATGGGTGTTCTAATAATAATTAGAAAAGTCAGCACACATAAATCAATGATGAAAGTACCCCCACACCAGTAGTTTTGATCCCAAGAGAAGTAATGTAAGATGCAATAAGGAATCAACTCCATTCATTTTTCCAGAAATGTGCTGAATAAAAAGATCATAAGGTTGCACTCTCTGAGACAGTTGGAGGCGAGATGGCAAAATGTGCCTTTAGCTGGATTGAAGCATGAACACGAGTGATTTGTGATCTTTGAGCAATACAAACGGATTAGAATGAATTTAGAATTTCCCATAATTTCACAGGTTTTTCCAGAGAAGAATGTGAACAGTTGGCATTCACAACAGGCAGCTCTGATCTACCTGAGTCTGTAACAAGAGGTACCCAGTCCCACAGGACTGGCATCAGTCACCAACAAGTTGGGACATAAGTCAGGCAGGGTTCCTTAGTTAACGCAGCTTTCAGTTGCTGAAATGCAGAGTCTGTTCCTGCAGACCAGAGCCAGTGACTCCTAATCAGCAGGCACAGCAGTTCCAAAACATCTGCATAATTAACACTATATATTAGGTAGCTAGATAAGAATGCAGCAAATCCAGCTTTTCGGGTGGGGCTCGCATAACAGTTTCTACATTCTCTGGAACAGATTTAAATTTCTTAGGCTGTGTCCTTAAAAGCCAATCGCTTCAAGATCCAAGTGACATTTAGCTTAAGCCCTCTTTTCTTATGGTTAAATTCATTTTTGTAGTATAGGTCAAAAGCTGCCCTCAGTCTATCCCAGAGCACAGTTGCTAATACAGCAGATAACCCCAGGAAGACTCACCCAGGATAAAGTCTGTTGTGGCGCATGGTGCGATTGACCAGAATTTCACAGAAACTGCAACAACCATGGTACTTTAGATAAATTACTAGATTGTGAGATTCCAGAAACATGATGTAACACAATCTGAAGGATATAGTCATTTCTGAATAGAAACTTTATATATAGGATCAGAAAAACCACTGAGCAGAAGAGGAGGACAAGTATTGCTCTTTGTATAAAAAGGGTATAAAATCAAATATACTAGAAAAGAAATCAGGACCCAATTCTACCTCAGAAGGTAGACCGCAAGACACAAAAATACATTTAAACTACAAGGTGGTGTAGAAAGCGCCCACCCCTCTCCAAGAAGAATGAAATATTCTAGGTAATATTAAAAAGGCAGAATATTATACCTCTGGATGAGAAAAGGAGAAACTTGCTCTTGGAAAGCAGCCCCATCTTTGTTAATACCCCCCAAAAGACCAGTCCATCCTATCTACAAAACAAGAGGCCTTCATCTCCAGGGTGACAGGCTTAGACCTTGCTCAAGATCCAAACCAGGACAAAGTCATTAAGCCATAATAGGAATTGCCCAACACCCTTTCAGAACACAAGCTTCTTCATTACACCACCCAGCACAGTTCAGCCAAGCTTATCTCAGACAAACTCCTAGGATTGGAACATGATGCCTACAGCAGCCAAAAGGATATATGCCTTTGCCACAGGAACAGGAAACTCTAGGGCAAGGCCCAAGAGGCGGTATAAATCTCTCTTCACTCCATGTGATTAGCTACCCAGAATCACACACGCTCGGTGTGTTTCATGCTTCCATGTTTCCAGTGTCTTTCTCCCACTTGGAACTGAACCCCAGATGGACATTTCTTGCTACAGTGGTGATTTCCACCTGATGTTAGGAAAAGTTTTGTAATAATAAATTGCCATATAAAGACGATAGGCTATAGGTTTCCAAAACGTTCTCCAAGTTGATTCTCTTGCGATTGTTATCCTCTACATATTAACGTATTATAACTAAATATATTTAAATCAGCAAGAACAAAAGATAAAATCCACACTGAGAACAAATGCAGTGCCTTTAATTCAAAGTTAACCAGTATTTTTCAGCAAGATGTCAACTTGCAAAGCTTTCCTGATATGCTCCTGAATTGCCCTAGGCAGGGGGATGAGAAATCGGGCCTCGCAGCTGCACCAAGGAATTCATACCTGTTCTAATTTCTCTGAACTGTCCTAAAAATGTGGCATTCAGAACTGAACACTACTGAAGTTATTTAACTCAAAATGGAAACACAGCCTAGCCGGCCAAAGTCAAGGCCAACAAGGCCATCTCCATGGAGACCCGCAATGGCTGGAGGGAGTGACTTCTATGACCCACAAAATTGCTTCATTGGGGAATGTGACCGGTGACATACTTCGGAGGGAGGGAAAAACAGGTTCAGAGGCAAGGCATGAAGTGGGTGAAGTCAGAGCCGGCTTCATCTAGCTTGTGCCGACATGGCACTCTTTATAAACAACTGGATCTTTCTTGATAAATGGCTTGAGA